AGTAAATTATATATTAAATACATAATCACATTATTTTCACATAGTAGCCTAACCACAACATAATACCGCTAAGTAGACATACTTCTTTTATTGTGTAGAAATCTTTTATGTCATGCATCCCTATATACACATAGTAAAACTCTTATTTATACTAAAAAAATTGAAGAGACCTTTATAGCAAAATATTTCTTAGATAAAATTAATAAGCTATTTAAAATAAATGAAAGAGTTGTATGAAATATGTATCGAAATTTTGTTAAATTTGACTTGCAAAAAACAATTGCTATATGTCATTGTATAAAAATCTTTTATTATAAATTTATTCTAAATATTTTTAGTCAAAATAAGGCTTTTATTGTGTATATGCAGAAGTGCATGATTCAAGATGATTTCCATTTATTAAATGTGAGATATTTACCTTGCAGTTTTTTTGATTTATTACTCGATTTTGATTTGATTTTTAAAATAATATGCTTCAACAAAGAACTTAACTATTATAATATTTTCTTATCTATTGTCTAAAACTTAATACTTTTAGTATTTTCTATACTATGTAATATCTTTTATTGCTAATGCTATTGCAATAATAACATATTGATATAAAAAAAGCCTTCTATAATCTCCAATATTTTTATCTATGCACAATTTTATTTATTTGTGATTTCACCAAATTTTTGCTTTGACATATTAATGGTTACTTCAAAAAGATGTGAAATAAAGAATTCAAATGAATTTAACTTCTAAATCATAAAATTCAAGTTCAACTTTATACTAATTTGATCAATAAATAAGTTAATTACTATTCTATAATGTCATATTAGTCATATAAAAATCATTTGTTTTCTATTCTTAATATTAAACCAAATATCCTTCTAATTACTTTAAAAATTAACATCTAGTTTATTCCCATATTTTTTTATATGTAGGTTCTAAAGTTGATAAATAATTTAAATTAATTATCTATTAAATTTTATTACATATATCATTAAGTTTGATCTCAAATTCTATTCATATATTTTTAGATCATATAAATAATATTTAATAGATTAATAGATAAAATTAATGTATATATATATATATATATATATATATATTCTTGGTATAATTTATTAATCAAGTTATTTTAGCATAAACCATCCATAAGATCTTTTTAAATTATTTTACATTATTTCTTTATTCTTAAGTATTTTAAAAAAAATTTATAAAATTTTATTATTTGTGATTAAATTTCAACGTTTTTTTCTTAACTTAAGTTGGTTTGATTTTTTTATTCTAAATAATATATTATATATCTAAAATAGTATGGAAATGATTTATCATATTAGCAAATCTAATTTAAAATAATTTAAAAAGATATATAAGAATAATAATGATATATTTTTTTAAATAATAGTCTTTCAATTTCATTTGAACTTGTAAAGTATCAATAACCTAGTTTCTATCTTACTTGAAATATCTAAAATTGATTTGTAATGTTTAGTATGTAATAATAGACTAAAATCTATCCTTAATATTTTATTTATTTCATTTTTATTTTCTCAATTCTAACTAAGCTTTATTTTTTTATGTAATTCAAGTATTTACTAAATTAGTAGTATTTGATTGGATTTATTTAAATTATATATAATTTCAAAAGTCTATTATCAATATAAGATAAATGAATGTGTCAGAAGCTTATTGATTTATCAACACGCTCATTTATTTTACATTGATAATAGGCCTAGAAAAATTTTAATATCAACAAAAGCTTTAATTTCTTTAATTTTTTGGACCAATTAATAATTTCTTAAATTATTACTTGGATTATTTTAGATAATATCTTGGTCAAAGTAGGCTACTTTTATAATTACAGTTTTTACTATACTACCTGCATATATATTTTATAACATTTTTTTAAAAATAATAATATTTTAAAAAATTACCTTAAAAACATTCTTTTGTATGTTTGTGTGTATATAAATATACATAATTATTATTATTTTATTATTATTTTAAAAAAATGTGCTCTTATTTTATCTAAGTTAAATAATTTTTTACTATCTGATTTTTTATTAATTGATATATCTCATTAGGAGCAAAGATTTGCTCGACAATAATTCATCTTCTTTGTAACTTTTTACATCGAAGTTTTAAAATAAATTGGTTGATTTCAAAAACTTTAGTAGAAAAGTTGCAGGAATATGTAACTTAGAATATAATTCAGTTTGAATTATATTCTTATGGTTTTTATATTAAAACTTAGATTATGAAATCCATTAAAAAAGAATTACCTTGCACTAAAAGAAGATCTTATTGATAGAATATGTTAAAGTTGGAGACAAAGTAACAACTCACATTTGGTTAATCAATCCAATGACCTAAAAATTATCTAAATTTTATTAATTGGGCTTGAATAATTTGATCGTTTTTTACATAAAACTATAATTTTATATTTTAAATTGGGCTAATTATTATTTTATTTTATATATTTTAAACAATTATAATTGTGGTGATATATTATTAATTTTCTAAGAAAATAAACTATTTTTTTTATAAATAATATATGAATTATATTATACTATGTAATTAGATAATATTCAAATAATAGCATTAATTTTATGTATTTAACTTGTTAATGTACTTAAAACCATGAGTAGTCTTTGTAAACAAGATATAAAATACCTTGTTGCTATTTCTATTAATCTTTTTTTATATTTTACTAATATACTATTTTTAATAATTTGGTGGTTCTTAATTATATGATTTTTAAATCAAGTATAAGAAAGATGACTCAATTGTTGCTATCAAATTACTATATCTAATAGTATTTTTTTTTTAATATTTCTAAAATTTAATAATTAGACAATATATGCTTAATAACTTTTTGATCTTTTTTAGAAAAAAATTAAAGCTATACCTTGATTTTAGATCTAAGTTATAATTTTATCTTTGTCTAAGTGTAAGTAGTTTGATTGCAATTGTAGATGTTGTTAGTTCTCAACTTAGTTTATATTTGTTATGTCATTCTATTTAAATGATTAGGTATCTTTTTTAATTTTTTTTCATAAAAGGTAAAATAATACATTTTATTGTTTTGTAATTTTCTATATAAAATTTATATAACTAACCTTAATTTTTGTCTTTTGATCTATTATTATAGTCTTACACTTAGACTCTATTAAAATATTTTATTTGTTTTTTTTTCTTAAATAAGTTTTAATATATATATATATATATATATATATATATATATACATTATGAGATGATTAATTTTTATCTTAACTTGATTTATATTGCTTTATAGTTAGCTCTAGATAAAATCTAGATTTAAGATATAAACATCATCTTAATCTATATCTAAGATTTACTTAATATTAATTGCTATATATATAGTTACTTTAAAAAATTACTAAAAATAATTTTAGATATCATCTAAGTAGGATTTGATTGATTTTATACTATTTTTTTATTATTTTTTGGATTTCAAATGGTTTTAGAATCAAAATTAGAATGGCAATTTGTTTTCTTTCTTGCATCTTGTAACAATATAACAAAAGAAGAATACAAAAAAATGGCATAAAAATCATTATTATTAACATCTATTTTATGTCTTTTTATTTGCAATAATAAATTAATATAATTAAGTTAGTAACCAAAGATGAATGTCTCACTAGACTATTGTTTGGTTGAATGGAGCAGCTAACCACTTTATTGCAACTCACACACTTCTAGTTATTTCATTTTTATGTAAACAAAAAAATTGGTTGTTTTGCACCTTTGGCCTTAATTAACTACTTCATAGCAGAGAATCCATTCTTTTACTTATTTTTGTACAGATTAATTTTGGTAAAATCTAATTCAACTCTAAACATTTTATAAACAATCAATTTACAAATATACTATAATAACTCATACTAATACTATTATCTACACTACCATTTAAACAACTCTGATCTAACATAAAACTATTAATTTAACTTGACTCTGAACTTTCAGAAACAAACAATAATAATTCTTTATTCAGATACAACTTCTAATGAGGTACACTAAGACTATTGTGTATGCTACCAATCAAACAAAGCTAACTAGTATTACTTTATCTTATTAAACACTTTGGGTGCCCAGTTTACTTCATTAATGGACCAACATCAAGCTACCGTAAAAGTGGAAGCTCGACACCCTTTTTCATCTAGATTTTCTCACTAGCATTCATTTATATTCAAGCTGGCCGAGCCATCTTGATACAAATTCATCTTCCTCTCTAGTACTGGGTCTTCATTTGACTGCGACTTAACGGTGATCATAGCTGGTGCTTGATGCGGACCTTTGTTGCATTGCTCACATCGACAAATTTAAAGCTGTGCGTTTTTTTCGTCCTTTTCCACTCAATATGTCCCTCTCATACAAGCAAAGTCGAATGGGATTTCACCGTCAATGGAAAACAAAGCTTGAATATGATTGCGGTTAATTCGCTCCATGCAGATACCTACGGACATAGTTCATTTTTATTGCTGGCTGAGCCTGAATGAATGCAGATGCTATTTGTCGAAGTCTGCACAATGAGGGTGATAATGGCATACTACCAGAGAACCAGCTCAGCTTCACATCAATTCAGAGGCTTGAGATGGATTGTTGGGGTACGTTTTCCTTGGAAGCAGTAATGTTCATTTCAATTAGATACGTCCAGAATGAACAGCTACGCCAGCTAAAAAGTGATCAGATAAGAGCGTTCCACTTTACTGCCAAATCTGCGAGGGACCCAAATTAACCAGGTTGCGTACCGAAGCAAAATGCATTGAACTAATTGCTCGCGTGATAAAGTTGAGTCTCACATGGCTTTTACAAGGCTAGGGGATCCCATGCTCTCGAAACTGGGACAGATGCTCTGCTTCTTACAGTTGAGAAATTGAGATGGGAAGTTTTTTCACAGTATCTTGAAAGCGATGCAATTTCCAAGTTCAACTGATTTTCAGTGCAAAAAAAAATGTGTCGAGGAAAGACTTCAGCAGGAGGAGCGAAATGCAAGAAAGATGATTCAACCTACAATCCAAAAGCTCTTTACAATGATCTAATTTACAATTTCGAACTGCGATCTATATACCGAGTATTGTTAATTCAGAAGTCAAAAGAATGTGCATCTAATAGCCTGTATGGTTTACATGTATCAAGCTCTAAGGAAAACTTCTCCCTTTGGCACTTAACTAGACTGCAGAGACTAGGGGAAACGAGCAGCACAAGGAAGCAGCTGCTTAGGTGAACGTAACCAAGATTCCTTCTTAGCAACAGCGCATTGATGTAATTGACATCATGTTGCAGAGCCAGCATTCTGCAAGCGGGCTTTTGAAACCAGTTCAAACCCACTACAGAAAGGGCGGTTTTCTTATCGGCTGAAGCCACTGTTGGTAGACTCAGCCTGAAAGCAACATGGTCACATGCAGCGTCGTTGAAGAGCTCAAATCTAATCAGTGCTCGATCAGCTACATTTCTTGTGTACAGAAGCTGATTGATACCACTCACTGCATTGGCGGTAATAATTGGCATTCGAAATGCTGAACCACTTCGTGACTGCCTTAGCTTGGTTTTCTTGGGCCCGAAATATCACAAGTTGAATTAGGAGATGCGACGCACTCCATTTTGAGCTTCTCCTTCTTCTTATCGTCAAAAATGAGAACAGTTCAATGGTCTTTTCAGAGTCCGATCACTGGAGAAGGCCGTGTAATATTCTCAAACAATGAGAAAGATGTGGGTACAGAAATTCGTGTACATTTAGTTCATGCACGGCAAACTTTTGCATGTCTCTCAGCTATGGAATGTCTCACTACGAGAGAGCCCAGCGCGCGACCACAGCCGACCCCTGGGCCTTAGAGGCGCTCCACTGTCAATGCTCCTCAAAATCTGACACATAGCCTGAGCCAAGTGCGCGGCGGGGTCTTGCCGTGTGAAGGAGTTGTAATTGAGGCAAATCTTCATGTGGGCACAAACAGCGTCGTCCATGGAGGTCTCAGGTCCCATACGCAGCCTCTCTTCCTTGACAGCCTCCCCGCAGAGCCCACACACTAGACGGCCGCAGAAGGTTTCTTTCATGCGCGCGACGTACCCTGGAGTGCACTCCTCGATGAGTCCACAGCACTCGCATTTGGCCATGTACTCCTGCTCCTCCTCAGCCTCATCCACGGCGGGCACCGCGAACGTGAACTTGGACAGGCTCTCAACAATGTCGGCTATGTCATCCGACTCCGGTTGGGAGAGTGTCTGCCGCAGCAGGTGGTGGTGGTGCTCCTGGAAGCTCTGTGATTTGACAAACCCATCCGCCCTGACGATGTTTCCCACAGGGGTCATCAACTCTGCTTGAGCAGAATTCATAGCAGCCTTCGTCTTCCGCCTCGTCACAAGCCTTGACACCCCAATTGGAGATGCCTCGAAGTCCACTTCACGAGTCAAAAAAGGCAGATGTCTCTGTGAAATAGCAACAAAAGCCTTTAAAAAACCTCCAATAGAAGCAACAATAAAAAATCAGTAAGTCCCCCCACCCCAAACCCAAAGTAGCACTTGCCGACAATTTCCTTGTTAGTGGACACGTAACGCCAATGCAACAAATGTGAGATGGTCCATAACAGAAAATCGTCACGTAAAGCAATCAGACTGAACTAGACAAGCCTCTTACATGAACCAACCCGATTCTTGCGTCAAACCGACGGAACTCGGTTAAAAAAGGCGTGTGAAGGGGCCGAGGCTGATGGAACTACACGCAAAAGTCTGGCCACGATTCTCTCAACCTTCGCGTCTGTAGGCGCATGCGCTCAATCAGCGACTCATCTCCGCAACATCGACTGACATCAGCCGTGAGGTTCAGCAACACTCATCCACAATGTCGCGAAAACATGTCCATTCCTCACCTGCAAAACCCTCTACATCATCACCAACCTCAATTCATACACCTTTATCACAAAAACTCACGAACACAGAATTTTTACAAACCAGAATCACGACTTAGTCTCATACAAAAACAATAACAAAAAAAATGGTACAGAAAGCTTCACTACACGTACTCCATCGGGAGTCAGAAACCCGCCACCACCGTAAGTGAAACTCCAGTCGGTGATGTGAAGCGCGACCCTCGACGCCAGCACGAGCACATGGCGCCACGCAACTCAATCCGCGAGAGCTTAAACTCGCGCTACCCACCCAACCCCCAAGTGTTCCAAGCGTTGATCAGATGTGGAATCGCAAGCCAACTAGAGAATCTGATCACGTGGGGGCGGATCGCCTAGGATCAAGGGCTAAACGCAGCCATTGCTGCGACAAATCATTTGGCTTTGCAGCAGCGTTGATGCCGCTGCGCCGCGCCAGTCCCGACGGTCCGTGGCCTGGCCTAGCCTGGGCTGCAGAGCGAGGCAGAGCGGGGCCCGAGGGCGTCACGCAGGCCACGGGCTTTTGGCGTCGCGGCCTCGCATCGCGCGGATCATCCACGCTGCGGGAGCTATCCTTTTGTCTTTTTCATTCACTTTTTCACTTTTTCACTTTTCATTTTTTATATGACTTTGTGGGTGCTCTGCCATGTCAGATTTTTGCTGCGTGGCTTCGGGCTTTTGTCCAAAGGGGAGAAGATCCTGCACTGCACTGACTGCGGGGGAGGGGGGGGGGCCTGGTTTAATGGGGCCCTGCATCATGGCATGCTGCTTGTCTTCTCTGTGGAAATTTTGAGTGCCGCAATCAATATCATATTCTCAGAATTTGTGCATTTTGAATCATTTGTTTCTTTTTCTCTTGCACTTTTATTATTAGTCTCTTAATTTTTTAATAATAAAAATTGAGTCAGTCTGTTGCTGTGAGTGTATAGATTTGGTGTCTGCTTCGCTATTTACTGTATTTTTCCATGGAACTGATTGGCAAAATATTGTTTTGCAAAATATGTTTTGTATGCAAATTTCCTTTTTTTTCTGGTTTTACATGTAAAAAAAAAACCTTGCGTTATGTTCATTTGGATTGACTTGAAATTCAAAAATTCAGGCCTGGAATACATGCAAGATTCTAAATATTGGTTCTTTAATACGGGATTTAAAACAACATAATCATTTTCTTACATCATGAATTCATTATTGAAATATAACCAAGTTTTTTCGATGTAATGGGATTTTTGAAGAAATTAATGCACCGACAAAAGAAAACCCTCGAATGGGCTTTTGAGATTTTTCCAAATATTTGAGTTTTTAAGTTTCCTTTTTTACTGTTGTTTTTGGAAAAAAGTTGATGAGAACAAACAAGGGATTTGTAACTATTTCTGGGTTTATGTATGATAACAGAGTGTTTTTTTTATGTCCAATTACAATATAGTATAAAAAGAAGTTACATTTTTTGAATTTTTGGCAATCTTGAAGACTTTATTGCACTTCACCACTTTTCTCTTTGTTATCCATGACTTTTGGGCTCCATCTCCACATATAATATTTCATAGTTTATATTATATAAAAATATACCATATGTCTTACTATATAAAAGGCTCCACAAGTGTTGGACATCTTCTTGAGTGTTTTTTCTGGTGCATTGTGGTTGCTCGATTATTTCAAACAATAACTTTAAGATGTTCCAAAACAAAGTTAAATACATTCTTAGGAGAATCTTGCCTACTTTTTCAAAAATCTTTTGTCTGATGTGGAATCTAATGGCAAATTGCACCAAAAAATATCTCTTAAAGGTTGATAGTTTGAATACCACTTGAAAATTTCTTATCTAGTGTAATAGATTTCAGCACAAAGAGGTGATGTTTTGTTATGTTAAAAAAATTGTAATAAGAATTGTAGATTTAAACATAATTTCTAGACATCAAAAATGAAAAATGAATAAGGAATAAGGAATTATCCCATGTTTTTCTTGAGATGAATAGAATTATAATTTTTTAATATATTCAAAATTTATGCTAACTATTTTTAATATTATATAATTTTAATTATTGGATAATATAATATATCCTTACTTAAAATATAATTAAGATATTGAAAACATTTACTGACTTATGTAAGACACTCCAAAAGGCACATATCCTTATTTACGTATTCACATGAACACAAGGCACAAAGCATGCTTTTGGATGCTTTAGAATCTAGTAAATATTAATCTTGCACTACTGGTTGAAGAGAAGGAATAGGATTATGAGGGCTCAAGGTGAGAGAAAAAGAAGAATCCAAAGACTCAAAATGGTGAAGGAAAGGGAGAAAGATGAAGGTTAAGAATGGAAGAAGTAGCTTTGGACATGGAGGGAGTGAGGATTGGAAATAAAGGAGGTCAGGATGAAAGCTGAGAATAGAGAAAGCAAAGGTTAAGAACAAGGGATTGAATGAAGGCCATGATTTTAATGATAGTTTTTAGACACGATCCATTTTTCTAATAATGATTATGATAGGATGGATTGATTTAGTAAATGGGTAGATCACTTTTATATTTTTTTATATATGTTTATTGTATATATATATATATATATATATAAGAATTAAATAAATTTATAGTTTTTTACTATAAAAATATACGAATAGAGATATTTAAAATTTGAGATGTTGAATTATTTTTAAAATTTTTAACTTTGATTAATCTTAATATTTAATAAATATTATATTATAAAAATGATTATTGTAATATGTAAGTAGTCTTTATTTATACAATTGAATAATAATCACAAATATAATTATTGGGGTCCAACAAGTCTTAAATAGAGTATATATAAAAAAAATAACCGAATTTTAAAAATAATTGATTTAAAATTTTAATTTAAATTATGTCATCTTAAAAAAGAAATATGTACAATTAAATGGCTTACAAGACCAAATTATATATATATATATATATATATATATATATATATATATTAAATAAAAAATTCACAAAATAAAAACTAGACTTTAATTAGGCAACATTGTTATAGAGTCTTAGGCCAATATAACATCTATCTTTAGCTATAATTCAGCTAGCTAAAACATTTAGGAGTTGAATGGTATATAAATCAGAAGAAAAATATAAATGTTGATTATTGAATGGCTGCAATGCATGTCTGTTGTATATAACTTTTGTGGTGAAATACTATTGATAAAATTCTTTTTTACATATAAAAGTAACTCATTTTATTATGTATATATATAATCTTTAAAAAAAATCAATTTTTATTATCCTCCTTTACATTTTTAGATATCTTATTTTAATGTAGAATTCTTCTTCCAATGAGTAATCAAATAGTCTTCTTTTATATTTATTAAAGTTCAAAAGAAGCTGTTATTAATTAAAAATATTTCTTTCCTTAAAAGATGTCACACGACTTTCTATCTTTATTTTGTTTAGTAAAAAAATTATTAAAACTTTCACTAGTATTATTAATTTTCCTCTTGTTTTTTAAAAAGAAAATATATGAAGTTTCTATAATATATGCTTTTAAAACCCAACCCAAAGTGTTTCCACCAAAATCACCAAACTTGTATATTTACATAATCAACCATGATTCATAAGTTACTGTCTTCACAGAATGTATAATCTCGCACACTTGTTCTTTATGAAACGTGCTATATGTCATAAAATGCATTTAACGTTTTTAGGTCAATTGCAATCACTCAGTTATTTTATTTTATTTTATTAATCTTTATCTCATATCTAAAAGAAATATCAAAAACACACACACACAAAAAAAAGGTATTATGTATAATATTTTAAAACTAAAATTTAATTATATGATTATGTCAAGACATATATTGAAACATTAGAATCAGTAAGATTAAAGGCCAAAAATAGAATCATGCGAAGGCAATGTCACGAAGGGACCAAAGGGCAGCAGCTGGGGCAGCCCAAAAACGCTAACACCCGGTCACCCATTCCCGGGAATGAGTCTGTTTACCGTGGAATTTGATCACGGTCGTAGGCGGCGGCCGTGAGCCCAAACTGTTCGTTGTCCCACCAGCTCCAAGTCTTCAACTCTTGTGCTCTCCGCCAAGTCGAGTTTGTGCTCATTCTGGCTCTCTCTCAGATTCAGCCACTTTTCGCTTACAGATTCAGGAGATTCGTCTTGTGCAATCCATTCTCGACATTCAACTCATCGTCCTGGGAATTGCGACTATTGTGAGGTCTTTTCCGTTGTTGAATGTGAGTGCTCTCGTCTCCGATGACCTAAATTGTAGTTCTGGAAAGCTTGGTTCTCGTTGTCAGTTCCGAATTTGTCGAGGGTTGACTTGTGTGTTCTTTCTGTTTCCAATCAGTGAATTCTGTTTTTCTGTATTTTTTTCTGCACCCACGTCGGGATTGTATCTGGTTTGAACGCCCCAGGTTTTAACGGGATGTGCATGTTTGGTTTGATGTAATGCAGAAAGCTTTGGGATGGCTGAAGGAAGTTAGCGTGGTGAAAAACAGGAATCGCGAACATGTCTGTGAAGATCAAACTTCACCGAATGGACCGCGTTTACAGACCTCCGGTTTGTGCACTTATTCATTGTCGCGAAAGGATATGCTTTTAATTTCTCACTTGCCGTTGTGCAGTAGCACTCAACCTTATGATTCCTCACCTCAGTAGCCACAATGTGAGAAAATTTTCGAATTTTGCAGCTCAAGGTGTCAATTCTTCTCCTGGATTTATGAATTTTCTTGCAGGATGTAATTGATGGAGTGATAATTATTGATACGCCTTCAAGTGTTTCTCATCAAGGCGTTCGTCTGACTGCTGTAGGAACCATCGTGTTCCAAGTAAATCACGTTCTCTCACTCTCAGTCTTGTAATTGGTCACTTGAACGGCTGTATCTAGTTATTTTTCCAATGCAAGATGTTAAGTGGCTTGCTGATATATGAAGGTCAGAAACCACATTTCTCTGATAACGTGCATGGATTTTGTTCATATGTGTAGCTGAGTGCCAGACAGGTGGGAGTTTTTGAGGCACTTTATAAATCTGTGAAACCGATTGAGCTCATGTGAGTATCAAACCACTACATTCCCCTGAAATTACAGGAGTCTAGGTGCGTAATGTATAGTTTCTGCTAGGAAGTGAGTAAAGGAACTCGAAGAGCTGTTAGTGCTGTGTTGAAAATCATGCATAATAAACTTCAGCTTTCTTCCAGCGTTGCAGCAATTTCAATTCCTTTAGATGCCTTTCATAATTCTTTTAAAGATGTTTCAAGCAGCCATGCACATTGGCAGCATCCCCGTTCCTTGTATTGGCTCATCTGCTAGGTAAATTATATCTGCGTAAAGTTTCTTTCTGTCTACAGGCATAAAGTTGTGGATATTCAAGCTCCTGGGAAATTTCCTCGAGGAAAAACGGAGGTGAGTTTCGGGTAATTGCTTCAGGTGATAGTGCTGCTTTGCTGATTTCTTTCAATGATGCAAATGTTGATCAAACTATTTCATGTGAATCTGATCTGGTTTCACGTAGCTGTTGTCTTGGGCATCGCGTACTGGAAAAATTTCTTTTTGTCAGCGTTTTGTAACTCATTCCCACGTTACCAAAGCTTTCTTTTGCACCCATCAACTTTTATCTTGTGCATTGTGTTTGTGACAGATCCCTTTCGCCATTTCCTTGGATACACCCAAAGAAGGCAAGCTGTTCGAGTCCTTTCATGGAGCTTATGTTAATATCCAGGTTCGTCTTTTATATCTTTATCAAGGACTCTGATTCCTATGCGTTCTGTATGAATGTTTTTATCAGGATATACTACAGGGGCCAACCACAGCTGCATATCTCTCAAAGTTATCAATGTTTTTGGTTTGAAATGCTGTTGAACTTGCTGCTAAACAATGCGAACAATCGCAATGTTATCTACATGGTCCTTACCATGACGCAAAGTTTTTGTATGAAGATCGTCCTAACAGTCAAACAGGTTGCTTTCAGAAATGACCCAATGAGACTATTGGACTAGCCTGAGAGTTCCGTGGGGTTTAGCAGTGTGTTTGCGTTGAAATCATGAGCACGACTCGCTAACATTATAATTTCTGAATTTGTAACAGTACTTACTTACAGCTGAACTTATCAGAGGATATCTACAAAAACAAATGTTAGAAATCGTTGAATTTATGGTGGAAGAACGAAAAGGTATAAGTACTTCATCAGCCTTCAGTTAGCTGCTTTGCAAATTTTCTGAACAGCCCTGACCATTACTTTAAATTGGATCTAAACTGGTTCTCCAGAATATTGCCCTCATTTTTTGGTTACATTTATATGTAACGGTGATTTGTGCCGGTGAATGACTAAGATTGGCTGGCTTCAAAACTGAGAACCGAATTAGTAAAATCTCCTTGAGTTATTATTTTTTCTTAGAAAGTGCTCAAACGGTTGCAGAGCAAATGCCAAGAAGGCTCTTAGAGTCAACACCAGTGAATTTCTACATCACTCAAGATACCCAGAAACACGTGATTGCTCCAGCGCTGCGGTCAGGTGAATCTCGTCGTTGTGTCTTTACTCTTCTGTCTTACTCGTTCATATACAGATAACTTCTATATGAGCTTATGGCCCCACATCAGTGTGGTTTATTGCATTTTATACCGTCGTATTTTTTTTGGCGTAGCTAAGGGACTAAGCAGACATCTATCATTCGTGTCTCAAAGTTTGAGGATGGCATTTACTTTTCTGATGCCTTCAAGATTTATTCCTTACTGTTTACCACGTTGCTCACTCTATAAGCTGTAATGACCTATTTGCTGAACACTGCAACTTTAGGTGGCTTCAAGATCACTGGACGTGTTGTTACTCAGTGTCCTTTATCCGAATATGTGATGGGTGAGTTGACAGTTGAACATTCAGCTATTCCTATAAGCTCAATTGACCTTCAGCTTCTACGGGTGGAATCAATCGTTGCTGGTGATAGAATGGCAACGGAGGCTTCAGAGATTCAGCGTACTCAGGCACGTCCCATGTGGTGATTTACTGCAGATTGGAAACAATTCATACCATCGTGTTAACTGTGAAGTTTCTAACTTTTTATATTGGTGGTTGACACTAGGTGGTAGATGGTGATGTTTGTAGGGGACTTGTAGTGCCCATCTACATGGTTCTTCCTCGCCTTTTAACGTGTCCCACGCTGGCTGCCGGGTATGTGATCTACTGCATATGTTTTAAAAATAATTTTAGGAAGGGTGGGGCTGTGGCAATTTGTTCTTACTGGTCTGGCAATTTTAGATAATGGTATACACACTTCGTCTATAAAAGACCCAGGTTTACCTCAAACATAGGGCAGAATTTATTGTTCTTACTTGTAGATTATGCTCATGTAAGGTAGACTCGCTCTGCCCCAGGTATTGTTGAGAATTGGTCCACACCTGTGCTCGAGCGCCACCTTGTATTGCAATAGCATAAGGTTGGCAATGGAGCAAGTAAGTGATTAAGTTATTCTTCGGACTCTCTTCCAGGGCGTTCTCTTTGGAGTTTGAGTTGTCAATCGTTGTCACTTTCGAAGCACTATCGTCAAGGCATACTCTCCTGTACGATCCAGATTCGACTAAGATGACGGTACTTATCTTCCTCTCTGTCCTTGAGCAGAAACAATCATTCATGCATTTAGGCAGGCTTCTTGGCTTGCATCAATTACTCTTTCGCTGTGAGTATATTGAATGTTTATCTTGTAACACTTAGAATGATTGCATTCTTATGATTGTATTAACCAGTACGAGAATTAGCAATATTGCGAGAGTTGTTCGACACTATCGTTTTCTCAAAATTATGGCAATGCACGGGAAGCATTGTACTGGCACTGATCCGATTCTTACTTTGTTTTTATCTCAGACGGCACATGAGACTCTGCCCTTGAGGCTTTTTCGACTTTGATCCACAATCTCTGCTCGTCCAGAAAACTCTGAAGTTACAGTATTCAGTTACTGCAAATAGTATTAATGACCAGTTTAGTTTGTGATTGGATTTGATCGATTTTTGTAATCGCGAAAGCAATACTATACATCAAATTTGCATGCGTCGACAATCTGGTGCTTGGGATTATTCGCCTGTATGTACCTGGACTGAAGTTTGCGGCTGATGTTGGAGGAAGCTGGCAGTTGGTGTTGGTGAGACATGAATTGGGTTTGTGTCAAGCGCTAGGATCCGAACCTGATGTGGCAATTACTTAGCAGGTATGATGAATTTGAGTATGCTGACTAGGTTGAGGATTAAGCTGGTTGCGTTTCATGTTAAACTTAGGTCACTGTTCTGTCGTCTAAACTTGCAAAGTCGATAAGTATTGAGGAACCAAGAGAGACCAAATCCTGGTGAGTTGGAAGGATTTTATGGTAAGAAAGTAAATCTAGTTCTTGCCGAAACGAAACTGACCAGATTTTTCCTTTGGACTGCTATGTTGGTGCAGGGCTTTGTAGACAGATTCAGAATTTAAACAAGGATCAGGTACAGTATACAGTGCTCATTAATGTTGATTCATCCATTACGATAGCAATTTAAAAAAAATTGGAATAGGACTAAAGCATGATCCCATTGTATTAGATGTAGTTCAACATCTGAATTAAATTTCCGAGTATGCGTTTGTGCAATGTTTTAACGAATGTAATCATTATTTTCCCCGTTGTTTATACCGGCTTTCAATACCCACCATCTACCGTTATATCCATCCATCAATCCGTCTGTCTAGTTTATTCATCAATTAATTTGTCTATATGTGAGATGGTGATTATTGAACTTCTCAGACAGGTAACGCGTTGATATCCACTTGATGCCTTTTGAAAGTAAAGCGGGTACGTGCACTTGTTACTACGTATTTAGCCTCATAATAGAATGATACCTTGAGATACACTACTAATGATTTGGCACGAGTGGTCATCGTGCAATGGTCCTTCAGTGCCTATTACCTGATGGAGTACTTTGTCTTACTGTATATTGTAGCTTGGCAATTGAGCCTAATCCTTCAATCTGTAACTCACTATTAAGAGATATTGCCCAGTGGGTTTTATTTTTGCTGCTGTACTACTTTACAGATCTGACTTAACAGTATCGTCAACTTTTCAAAAGTTCCATCTTTTTCATTTTTGAAAAAAATAAAAGATGGTTGTAGATGCTGGGCGTAGAAAGTTCCATCTTTTTCATTTTTGAAGAACAGTTTTTGTTTTTTTGTTTCTCTTCCGAGGGAGGTGGAGCGAATTCAGTACAGGAATATATGAATTGGTGCAGCCGAGGGAGTACAGAATCACATGGATGGCACGTGTTATACCTGCAGTAGAAGAAATCTGTCACATCTTATGTGGGTGTTAAACTGGTTTCCACATGCGTGTATTAACAACACTTCTGCTTTACAAGATAGCCATTACTATACCTCAATGTACGTTCATACGTGTATTAACAATACTTTACAGTAGTTCCACTCTGGACTCGGGAACATATACCTCATCCATTCGTACGATGCTTCATTTCTGTAAAACTTATGGTAGAACGCAGGACCAATTTAACCCAGGATGTCACTCATTTGAAATGGATATTTGACCAGAGCCTGTACAGATGTTAGTTAGATGTGTCTCCACCTTCAAATATGATCGAGACTGCTTCTCCATGAGTCTTTTCCTGCAATGTAGAAATGCGAAAAGGGTCAAAAGAGAACGTAATGACAGGTGCAGATCTTCCAACACCAGGGTTCACATTAGTCACCGGCTTTGGACACGTCTCTCTTGGAGTCACGTCTCCAGCTTGATCCCCTACGTCTGCGAGCAACCGTGGTCGACGTTTTCGAGAGCAACAGGTTACTCAACTGATCACTGTCAATTCCAGAGATCAATTCTCGTGTGGCTTTTGTCCATTTGGTATTTCTCGTAAGTGTCCCACTTCGAACCCTTATTTTGTGATGCTCTTTTCTGAGACCTATTTCCTTCTAAAATCATTTGCTGACATCGTGCTGCTGCATCAAATGCAAGAGATACGGAAGTGAGCACAAAGCTCATAGCTGTAAATGATAGTGGAAACCCTAAATGCCTGAGCAACTCAGTTTGTGCTTTGGTGAGCTCAATGTTAGTATTAGAGGTTGCCCAGGAATTGATCTCTTTTGAGTGAAGATTTCAATTCAAGGTAAGCAAAAGAGTTGGTCAAGGTTAACTTTTGCCAAATTTTTCGAAGTGAGAAACGCTTTTAATGGTGAATTTTGAACTGTAACATACTTCCTCACGTATTGAGAATCTAAACGTAATAAGAAAGTGAATTCTGTGTTCAACTTACATTTTTTTTCTTTAAGTGACTTATGTGATTGATAATATATGTGCAAGTAGGTACATATATCACTAAAACCACATGAAATCTCTTTTCTCTGTGTTGGTTAACATCACTGCTGTGACGTCATACAAATGTCACAGATAAAAGGTTCAGTAGATAAGAAGGCATTATCAAAATTTCATAGATTACATCTTCTCACATCAGTATTGAACTTTCAAAGATTAATAAGAACAGTGATTTCAATTATACTCAAAATTTTAACATGATAAAGCTAATTAATATGTCCCATTCTAATTAATTGAATAATTAGAAATTAATTGTTTGTATCTCACTTCTGGTTAGATTTAATATATTTGAAATATTTGACATTTGTTAGTAGTAATTTGACATAGTTATGATTACAGAAACATGGTTGATTATTTTAAAAATTACATTTATTGATTTCTAATTTTAAAAAAAAAATTATATCATATTAGCTTTTGAGGATTTGCAGAGATCTATTTTGAAATTTTTACACATAAAAAATAGTCTTATAAACACTATTCAAATAAATTTTAGTTAAACACATTCTTGCTTACAAATGCTACCAAATAACAATGAGTGGTTAATTTTTAGTTTTTCATTCAAATACAAAATAAATAAAGACAAATCTTTTGGTCTAATATTTGAAATTTAAATAACTAATCTCCAGAGCCATTTTCATACATGTTTTTAAAATCTTTCAATATTTCTCAAACAATTAAAAATGAGGTTAGTATTTTACAATCTCAAAACCATTGATGAAAATATTTTTATCCTAAATAAATTTGGTAAAACTACATATAGTATTAGATTCATGATGGATTGGGCTAGCCTTCAAAGATGGGACATATGGTAGATAAGTATATGCACACATATTCAACATATATTTTTTACGAAGGCCTAAAACTTATAAAGAGGTAGAATGGCTACCAATGCATTGCAGTATTTTATGGAAGCTTTTCAACCAAGCTTCGAAAATAGTCATCCCAAAGTTTGGCTCCATTGAGTTGAAATGTTCAAAATGCTTCCAACCCCACATACTCAAACCTCGGATCTCATGAACTAAAAGATATTTTTCTTCTTCTTCTTTTTTAGTGGGACCATTTTCTTGAGAATAATTGTGGGACAATTGTACCAAAGGTCAACCATTGTAGAACACAAAATCTAGTGTGATGACTCAAAAGCCAACAAGATAAAGATAATAAAAGAAACTAAGATAACACTTTATTTATTTATTTATGTGAATAGAGGCATTTATAGTAGAAGAAAGTGAGAGAAGGGAAATGAAAAAATAAAAAAATATCAAAATATATGAGATTATGCAATAGAAAAAAATTAATATCTTAATAGCAGAAAGAAAGAAAGAAAGAAAAGTATAATATTCTACTCAATAAATACTTTTGGGGTTTGTTTGCAATAGACTATCTTTCTCTAATATTTTGAAGGTTGGATATTTTGATGTGGTGTGGGGAGTATGCAAATATTACTTGTGGTTTTATACTACAGGAAATGCTTTCTTATTCAAGATTAAAACATCCTTGATAAATCATTCCAAGAAGTGTGTATTCATAAACTCTTCAAAATTCAGAGCACAGAAATTTTAATAATAGGCAATGAAATTTTTTCAAAACTAATAAATAAATAAATAAATAAATAAATAAATAAATTTATTTTTTTGTGTGTGTATATATATGTATATATAAATTTAAAATGCATAGTTTTAAAAATCAGATTGCAACTAAAAACTCTTGCATTTGAGTATTTATATAAACAAGGATTTTTTTTTTCAATTTTAATAGTAGTGTATGAAAGAAAATTCTAATGATACTTGTTTATTTTGATAGAATATGAATTTTTATTTTTATTTTTATTTTAAAGAAGAGGGTATACCAAGTCATGTACAAATCTGTAATCCGATATTTTAGCCCCACCCAACCAACCATGACTTTGTCCAGAATAATACCAATAGTAATCTCACACGAGTGACCTAACAGACAAGTTTCGTCTCCGACATCGACGAGACGGACTGCGAGTCGTAAAGAGCTCGTCGAGAAAGTTCGTGGATGTCGACGGAGTCCGGGTTCAATCGCGGTAGGCTGGAAAAAGGTGTTGACGATGACGACGACTTCAGCCCCATTGCCTGATTTAATTCTTTGGATGCGCGGTCAATGCCGGAAAGAGAATTCTCTGCAGTTGAAACTCGTTTACTCTTTTCAAGGCGTTGAATGGCTGGTTTTAAGCACACTATGGCCAGCATCTTACTTGTAAAAGCCACTGGTTGAGAGCTGGGAAGCAAGAAGTTCTCCTGCGTCCCGTTCTCGTCGAGGGAGCTGCGTGTTGAGGTGATATTGCGGTGATCTTAGTGGGAGTTTGTTGCAACCAGCTCAGGCCTTCGTATTGCGGAAGGTAACAATGGCTTAGTGTCGAACATTGTTTGGTTTTGTGTGAGACTCGGCATTTATTATCGTACTGTCACCGACGCTGGATGGTGGTGTCTAGCAAAGTGGAAATGGTTTGTTTGCCAAATGTGGTATGAGGCTCGAGTGATGGTGCGGTGCCGGGGTGGCGTCACTGACCAACGTCGTTGTGTATGGGTGCTCGTAAGAGGATTAGGATGCCTGGTTTTCGGTAGGAAGATGGGAACTTGGTGTTTCTGGTTCTCTGCATTGCGGCAGGTTTTAGTTTGATGCTCGAGTCGTTTGGGTACTTGCTGTAGTGAAATGGCGATTGTGGTAATGGTGTCCATCGCTTGGATTAGGTGCATTGCAAATAGGGACGGGAGGGTTTTTGGGTTAGGCTTCTGCAGGGCAATCGTAAGAACGCAAAGAGCAGATTAACATGCTATCCCGGTGAGAATATAGATCTGCGACTGAAGGATAGTCGCTGCTGATTTTTTCAATTAAATCTTTTAGAGTAAAAAAATGATTTCCCACAGCTGATTGATTTTGCGACGCCGACTTTTCTAATCAATTTTCTTCCCACAACTTTCTGCTTCAGAACTTTTTTTTTTTTTTTTTTTTTTTTTTTTTCTTTTTCCTTTGCAGTACTTTTCTGTCCTTGGTTTTTTCAACCATCACATTAATATTGTCGGTAAAAATTTGTTTAATCCTTTACAACGTTTTCTTGCATGTTTCTGTTGTTTGATTGAGGAAAAAGAGCCCCTCATTTTGTGTCAGTTTAGGCTAGTCAGCTATGCAGTCAGAGCGTGTAGAAAGTTGCCAATCGTTCTTTTAAATTTGTTGTTACTTGTGTGAGGATACAGTTTTCTTCTTTCAACTGCAGTCTAGCGTGGTCCCGAAATAGATTGATACGAATGGATTGTTTTTCTCTGAGTTCCTGTACTTTTTCTTTCTAGTACATGATGTGAGAATGATAGTTGCAAGGGTAATTATTGAGTGTCGAACTTGGGATTTGGGCACAATCTCGCACACTTCAATATCTGCAACAGTGAAACTTCTGATTGCTTATTTCTCCAGTTTTCTTGAGCAGGTTGAGTTAAGTTGTTTCTGAACGATCTTTCAATTGTAAATGTGCAGGTTGTCGTGCAATTTAGATAGTCTCAGTCTACTTTGGGCTTCACCATGGCTCTCGTGAGCCGAACTCTCCTTACCCCACGGGTCGAGACGTTCTCCACCCTACCCAGAGGTGGCAACAAGACCACTTCCTTGAAGAGGCAATTGCAAATCAGTGACACGCTCTCCAATAATATTGTCAATTCCAGCTCCGCAAAGGCTGTGCAACCCGTGGACCTCCTGAAAGCAACTACAACCCAAGGTGACTCTTACGAAAATCCCACTTGCGAATCTTTCTAATTCTGATTTCATGTGTGTTAAAAGGAGCAACCACCCCCTCCCTATTCTCTAAGCAAGTGACGTGTTACCAGCGATTACTAAATCATATTGCCGTGATCCCGTTTTTGCAGTAGAGTTGCCAGGACTCCAGAAGAATTGGTCTGTAAACAGCTGGAGGAACAAGGTAGCCTTACAGCAGCCGAAGTATCCAGACGCTGAGAAGTTCGCAGAGGTGGAGAAGGTCCTCGGTGACTTTCCCCCGCTCGTGTTCGCAGGTGAGGCTCGCAGCTTGGAGGAGCGCCTTGCGGACGCAGCTCTCGGAAATGCCTTCTTACTCCAAGGGGGAGACTGTGCTGAGAGCTTTAAGGAGTTCAATGCCAACAACATCAGGGACACTTTCCGAGTGCTCCTGCAGATGGGTGCTGTGTTAATGTTCGGTGGCCAAATGCCAGTCGTCAAAGTGGGTAGAATGGCGGGCCAGTTTGCAAAACCTCGTTCCACCAACACTCAAACTGTGAATGGGGTGGAGCTTCCCATTTATCGAGGCGACATCATCAACGCTGACCTCCCCACCCTGGAGGCTCGCACCCCCGATCCCGACCGTATGGTGCGAGCATACTCCCAAGCCGCTGCAACGCTCAACTTACTGCGCGCTTTCGCGACTGGAGGTTTCGCAGCCATGCAGCGCGTCACGCATTGGAACCTTGACTTCGCGACGAACACCGAGCAGGGCGAACAGTACCGGGAGCTTGCGAACCGCGTCGACGAAGCCCTGGGCTTTATGGCTGCTTGTGGCCTTACCCTCGACCACCCTGTGATGACCTCCACCCAGTTCTGGACTTCCCATGAGTGTCTCCTTTTGCCTTACGAGCAAGCTCTCACACGAGAAGACTCAACTACTGGGTTATGGTATGACTGCTCTGCGCACATGCTCTGGATCGGCGAGCGCACCCGTCAGCTCGACGGCGCTCACATTGAGTTCCTGCGCGGCGTTGCTAACCCCTTGGGCGTCAAGGTGAGCGATAAGATGAACCCAGAAGACTTGGTCACTCTATGCAACATCTTGAATCCCGATAACAAGCCTGGCAGGCTCACTGTGATCGTTCGTATGGGCGCCGCCAAGCTCAGGGAGAAGTTCCCTGCCTTGGTGCGCGCTGTTCGTCAAGCTGGATGCACCGTTACCTGGGTGAGCGATCCCATGCACGGGAACACTGTCAAGGCGCCCTCGGGCCTCAAGACGCGCCCCTTCGACGCTATCCTGGTACGATTCTAGATCCATTTCGTAATACTTTTCTGACCCTCATGTTGTCCATATCCATATGGTTTGCATCAAGTGACCAACGTATCCTTACATGCCTACTTGGGGTGTTGCGAACTCATCAGGATGAAGTAAGGGCCTTCTTCGACGTCCACGAGCAGGAGGGTACGCACGCCGGGGGTGTCCACCTCGAAATGACGGGTCAAAACGTAACAGAATGCGTCGGTGGAGGGAAAAACTTGACATATGAGGACCTGAGCTCACGCTACCACACCCACTGTGATCCTCGCCTGAATGCATCCCAGGCTCTGGAACTGAGCTTCATCATTGCTGAGCGCCTTCGAAGACGACGACTTGCAGGCGGCAGCAACACCTTCTTCCAAAGCATCTCATCTCAACTCAGTGGCATGTTTTAGAAATCAATTTTACTTTAATTCTTTTACATAAAGAGAGTTTGACATAGAGTGAGTTTAATGAGCTGAGGTAAAATATCGTCTCTGTAATTATAGGTCTCGCAGGCGCTGACAATGTGGGATTTTTTGTGCCCCTGAGCGCTATTTGAGTTGCCATGCCATTTCTTATATCATCAGATGACATGTCGCACTCTTTGAGCGTCCAATAAATTCAACTTCTTACCACGAATCTCTAGCACTGGCTCCACAAACAGAACCAAACATTATCTTTTGAAAGCAGTAGACAAATCCACACATGAGCTACAAAACCACGTAGATCTCTCTTCACGCATTAATACTTTTTTGCTGGGGGAGGCGGCGAGAGAGGGAGGTTAGGGTTAGACTGCTGGGATAACAGGCGCAAATTTTGTGTCCTGCCCAGTCTTGGTTTCAAGACTTCAGGATTTTGTTTAGGGTTTTGAGATGTTGACGTATGTGGAATATATTAGAGGTGGTAGAACTTAGAGAACAATGGAACCAATGCAATTTTGAATGGGAATGACAATGGAAGCAACAATTGAGGGAAATGGAGTACACAATCAGAGTAATTGACTTCATCCAACAAAAAAACAAAATAAAATAAAACACAATAAGATTTCTACCTCCTCATTTTGCATAAAGATATATAATAAAATTATAAAAAAAAATTAAAAACATAAATTGAAATGATTGAGGTGGATTAGGATGTAGTACAAAGAAAGATAGAATTTCTACTAATGTATGTAATAATACATTAAGCAACAATTACATACATTAACATTATTTTAATTATTAGTTATTAAAATTGAATTAATATATGTATATGTATATGTATATATATAATATTGGATGTATCAAAAAAAATAATTAAAATAAAAAACTAAAAAATACATATTAAGTGAATGGTGGTTTATGGTGGTAGTAGGAAAAATTGTGGTGGCATTAACAAAATCTATTTGTAAAATCAAATTAGATAGGGTATTGATGACCATATCATTGTTGGAGAAAAAATAGTAAAGGATACTTTTATTTAAATGAAATATTTTAAAAAAATCATAATCAATATTAAGTGCATATTATATGGTCTAAGGGAAGACATGGAAGAATTTATATTTAAATCAAATTCTTCGAAATTTCAAGCATTGCATAGAATTATAATTCACTATATGAATTTTTACACTACTTAGGTAAATAGAAATAATTAGAAGTAAGTAGAAATAGATATAAACATACTAGTTATACGATGTAATATTTAAGAAACATCATAAAAGTTTTCTAAACTTAGATTAAATATGTGGATTCTTCTAGATATATGGCATGGTTAAGAAATTTTTTCTAAAATTTCTTTATTATTATATAGCTTAGAGTTAAAACATAACTTAGATCTTAGAAATAACATATAACTTGGATATTTGCCTAAAAGATTTGTGGTTCTCAATAAACATCCACATGACTTTTCTATTAGTCAGTATACATGATGCAAGATTGTAATTGTCTTCAAGTTTGTCAATTTATTTTTTTGTTTTTTATTCTCCAAATCTTAATTCAAGATTTTATAGATTCTTAGTATTTGATTAGATCTATTATTTTTTATTTCTACCATATATATATATATATATATATATATATATATATATATACATGTGTATATCTATGTGTGTGGGTGTTTATATTTCTAATGATATATAATAAGGATTTTTTAAAAAGAATTTATCTAAATTTATACAATATACAATCAAAATTATAAAAGAAATAAAAAAATCGATTAAATTAATAACATATTGATATTCAATAAATTATTAATAAAAATATTATTTAAAAATTATAATAAATATAATTAAAGAATAATAATTTGAGTAAAACTTATATAGATAATTTATTGAGATATTTATTCTAAATTATTTTCTAAAACTAGACAATAAAGATATTTTATTTTAAAATTTAAAAAAATACAAGGATTCAAAAAAGAGATTTAATTTAATTAAAGATAATATAATATGATTTTTATTTCTCTTTGTGTAGGTGATAAAGGAAGTCATTTGAAGTTTTAGAAGCTATAAACTTTCTATTAAATAATTTAGTAAAAACTTACAAATCAAGTAAACAAGGAATTAATAAAATCTTTAATTATGGATATATTTGAACTTTGTAGACATGAATGAAACAATTAAAAAAACTTTTACTTGATAGGATAGGAGTAAATGTATTTTTAAAACAAAAATGTTATTAAAAAAACCATCTTAGAATAGTCAATTCATGATTAGAAATATGATATTTTTTTGAAAATATAATAAGATAAACTATAATATTTCTTTATATAGGTAATTTTTTTTAAGTAATTAAACATATATTATCATATTCAATATTTCATATGTATTCTTTAATAATAAAAATATTTCAAAAAATATTTTGAAAAAATTATAACTATTGCTTATAAAAGTAATATACTTTTATAAAAAAATATCATTATTTTCCTGAAGTTATACTAGATATTGTTCTAATATTTTTTATAAAAAGAAAAAATACTAATTTAATTTAATTTTTAATTTTTTAATATTTTTATAATTCAAATTAAAACTTTTGAAATAAAATAATATTATTTCTTTGAAATTTTTAATTTTTTCTTTAGAAAATCATAGATTTGATTTCTAATTTTTAAATATAAAAAATTTCACAATTATGAAATAGTAGCAACAATTCTTTTAAGAAATTTTTTCATTAAATATTTTTTTAAAAAAAACATTAAATACATATTTTTTGCTTATTTATTATTGATAAATATTTTAGATAGTATCTTAAAAGCTATTAAAAATCTTTACATTTGTAGTAATACAATTCCAAAGAATATAAACCAACATATTTTTTACTATGTTATATAAACAAAGATCGTTACATACAATACATAGTTGCTACAAACTAATTACTAAGTATGTAACTTAAACTAAATACAAATGTACATGCAACACACTTTCAAGTACCTCCCCTAGTTGACTAGGAGTCCCTCAAGTCAATTAGGACTACAAAACATACATTACTAAAGATAAATCCTACAATTATGTTATTGCCAAATTGTACTCCTTCAAACTAGTGTTGTAGCAATTAGTCCACCAAAGTGTATAACAAGCACAATAGAAGAAATCTTCAATCCTTATCAAGAGATAAAGTATGGCTAGAAGACTTCTTATAATGAGGGCAAATCCAATCTCCTAAAAAGAGAGTCAAAAGAAGTAATGTCAAACATGTCATATGTCACCCACATTGCCATTGATCATACAAAAGCTTGGTAGAAATTCTTTTCTTTTCACCACATATAAAAAAAAAGATCAATTGGCATAATTTCTAAATTAAGATGTATACAATCATTAATAGGAAGATAACAAGGAGCACAATTCTTTGAATGCTACTGATACTCTTGTCCATCCTTGCCTTCCAACAACAAAATACTACTAAGCAATACATTCTTTATATGTAGAATTATGTACCTTGCCTTAATATCAAGTGTTGTAGGTACTTCACATTGCAAATATAGACAATCTCCTTTAAAGAATCTTTACAATTGAGGTCAATAAGCTCTACTACTTGTGAGCTCTCAATTATACTCTAAACTTTAAATTTTTATTATTTAGTTATATTATGATAATTGAGCACGTTAGATTAGGATTTATATAAGTAGAATTTAGTTTTATTGAATTTTTAGGATTGTAATCTTTGATGGTATAAATCATAGCCTAATTTCTTGAATTAAACTAATTAGGATCAAAGTGATAAGAATTAAAAAATTAGAATAGTAATTTAGTTAGTTTTAATAATTTAGAGGTCATTTATTATTAATATGAGGGTTGACTAAGAGCCTATGAGTTTACCTATAATCATCTCATATGATTTAGAGTGAATTAGAATTATAATTTTCTATAAGATCTAGTAAACTTTAATAATGACGATTTTGAAGATTTTTTCTAAATTTAACAAATCCAAGGGGCAAAGTGGTTCTTTTGATTAATGGAAGCCATTCAAATGCAATGGCACCATTAGATTCAACCCATGGAGTGAAGAAAACAAGATCAGTATCCTCTCCTTCAAAATACAAGTAGAGTAATGAAATTCTCATTTTTGAAGAATTTTACAAGAATTGCCAAAATCCTTGTAGGTAAGAACTTTCATAAAAATTAAAAATGAGCATGGATTGAGGCATGTGAGTAGATGATCTTACCATAAAAAGATATTTTGAAAACAATGGTGAAGTTATATTTACCAAAAAATGTTTTTTTAACCACTTACAAGAGCCATCAGCCTTAGTAACGAAATTAGTTCTTGGATGAATGAAGGCCATAGATCTATATTGGAGATCTTAGAAATCAAGGGTGGAGATGTGGCCGCCCTCCTACAAGCCACCACTCAATTTTATAAGAATGACTTGTTTTTCTAAGCCCTCTCTCTCTTCTCTTTGGTGAAAGATAAAGCCATACCAAATTTTGGCCTTAAATCTTAATCTTAATTTCAATTTTTATTTTGAATCTCATTGTAAACTTTGTGGGTGTATGTGCATGTACCTTGAGTTGTAAATGATGGTTATTGGGTTTTAAAACATATTTCATTGTGGTGGATAGCACCCTTGGCCTCCCAAATACTCCAAGGGTTCTAAGAGCCTTCGATTTCCTTCAATTAGTCATGCAATTTTTAAAATTTTGATGTCATTCAATTTTTTTATTTTTTGTGTGATTTATTTTTGTGATTTTAGCTTTTAGTATTGGCTTTCTAATAAGATAAGGCTCTCTTCATTCAAATTAAGAACAATTTTTTGGAGAAATTTTGAATGCGAGGGATTGGTTGCCTTAGCAATTTAAATCAATCACATTTAAAAAGATATTTCTCAATATATTTTAATTGGATTATTCTGAATTTTAAGAAAAAAGTGTATCTTTAAGCTGAGCTTTTAATGGCATAAATTTCACTAAATTTAAAGATAAAATGAATTTTTGATGAATTTCCAAGTAGAAGAAGGTTGCCTTCTTTAGTAGTCTTGGTCACTTTGAAGGAGTATTTCTCAACTTTTAGATACTGCATTGAATTGAAAATCATTGGAATAGGAGCGCCTTCAAGTTTACTTTAGGAAAATATAAAAATCATTCACTTTGGAGCTAATGAAGATTTTTGGAAAACTTTGGAGTGGAAGGAGATTTGTTGCCTTCAATTCTTGGCTGTTATTAAGGT